TAAATATTAAGAACCTAGGATGAATTCCATTAAATTAATCAAATCACCTCTCACTCTCTCAATGAAAACTTTAGATCCTGCAATGATGCTGAATGCCAGATCCCAAATCACTGTAACTTCCACCAAAGGCTACTCTGAAGGCCTGGTATCATTGTTTCTCCTCTAACTTCAACACCTCTACAACAGAATCATTTGGATCTAATAAGTTTTGACCTAATCAAATACAGTAGTGATGGTTATCTGCTGTGAAGTTAATTCCAACTAATAGATGGCCTGTGTATGGTTTCTGAGGGAGCAGATAGCCTCATCTTTATCCTGTAGAGTGGCTGGTAGATTCAAGCAGCCAACCTTGTGGTTAGCCACTAGACTTGTAACCCACTACGCTACCAGAGCTCCTTACTCAATTACAATAGCATCTCTTTAAAGATATTTGGAGAAAATGGTAACATTTGGGTATCTTTAAGACAATTCTATGCAGCTTCATTTGGCTTCTGTACCATGTGTCTGCTGATGATTTCCCTATCTGAGATGTGCGTCCCTATCTGAGATGACTGTCTTTATCTTTGTCCTGTTTGGTAGTCATGGTGGTGTGACATGGAGTCAGTTCCAACTCACAGCGAGTACGTATAGGATTTCTGAGGCTGTGAATCTTTATGGGAACAGAAAGCCTTATCTTTATCCTGCTGCTAGATTTGAACTGCTGACCTTGCCATTAACAGTCCAATGCATAATACACTATCCTACTACGCTTCCTTTTGTCCTGTTTAAAACTTAATAAAAATGGTCTCCATAAGATTTTTTTAAAACAAACAGATTTTACAACCAGTTTATAGAGTTCAAATGAATTTCATCAACCATTTATCCATACACCAGTACACCAAACGCAATCAGCAGAAATCAAAGACTTCATCCATGTTGCTACTGCTGTGCCAAGTTAGTTCTAACTTATAAGGGACCTTGTGTAGGGTTTCCAAGGCTGTAAAACTTTACAGAAGCAGAAAGCTTTATCTTTCTCATAAGGAGCAGCTGGTGGAAGCAAACTGCTGACCTGTGGTTAGCAACCCAACATGTAACCCACTACACCACCAAGACCCTTCTCATCCATGTTCCAGAGCTTAAAAGTTAGAACCAGAACCTAGCTTTCCTGATTTCCTCAATTAACTGATTGTTTCATTATAATATACTATGTTTTCCAGAATGTCTGAATAACATGAAGATAAATATGTAATAGTTCCATTTTTAATTCTAGATTAGGAAATTATGAAGGCCTAAAAAAGTCATTCAATTACATAAACATTTGTTTTCCTAAACTGATTCTAACTAGGCAATGTTAAAAAGAAAAGCTAGTACATAAAGAATGATGTATGCACAACCTTGGAACAACAGAGCTCTGGGATACAGGGATTGAGACATGGTTTGAATGGGGAAAAGAGGGGAAATAATGTTAAGATGCTTGGCTGTCTTTTGAATCTTGGTTTCCCTTGCATAAAATTATAAAATAGACAATGGAGGGGGAGAGAAGGAAATAGCCAGAAACATCGCCATAGAAAGCTTATAAGTCCGTCTTCTGCCTATAACTGATTGGAATACCTAAAATGGAGCTACAACGTGCCCAGTGAAGGAGGCTTTCTGCAGAGCCTCTGCATTACATAAGACTATAGATGGAATCCTGAACAGCATCCAGAATCTCCAGAGGTGGGAAATTTCCACTTGAAAGGACAAGCAAACCAGCCTAGAGCTGCTAAAAGAACAGAAGATCTTTCTTGAAAGCAAGACCAACAGGAAAAATAGAAAACAATATAGGCAGACCGACTGATTACTACAAGAATGAGCAAGTTGCTCGCCCAGGAAACATCAAGGCAAGTGGTCAGGTCCCCTCAGAGCAAACCCCCTTCCAAAACTAAGATTCAATGGGAATACACCCTCTGATTGGTAACCACATTTGTCACCAATAAGGGGAAATGAGGGAAAAACATCAATGAAGCTACAAACTAAGCCCTACAACGTTCAATAGACTCCTGTGAACCTGGATAGAGACCTGGCTGGCCAGCAGTTTGGCAAGACCTGGGGACTCTTGGGCCCAGAATCGGTGACATAGCCACAGAGGACTAGAGTGGAGAGTGAAGCATCCAGCTGATAAGAAGAGAGGGCATATGCACAAGAACACCCACATTTGCAGATAACAGCCACTTGACCTGGCTTTAATGACTGGATGATCAGAGCTCAATCAGAAGAAGAAAGAAGAGGAAAAAAAGCGTAATCTGATACAATTTGATGAACTTGACCTACACGTATGGATGTAGTAGCTCAAAAGAAGGAACAAAATCCCACACCCCTCCATACACAGAGTAGACAGGGATGGGCAACTTGGACACTGGTTACCCAAAGTGGGGGGGCTACAAAGGCAAGAAGTGACTGGCTTACAAGCTTTCAAGAGAGAACCTAGATCCAGAGGGCGTGGGGGAAGGTAGAATCTCCACTGAGTAGTATCCAATCTGTCTAGGCGGGGGTGGGGGTGTGTGTGTGATGAAAGGAAATGTGGATAGGTCTCTTGTGATACAATAGTGAATAATTGTTATCAGGACTGATTGTGAGGGTTAGAAATGTAAAGGTAGACATTTTGTAGCAAGGAGGGGAGTGATTAACTTTCCAGTCTAGGAGCAGAGGTCCCTGGGACCATCAAGGGAGAAGAGTGCTGTGCGAGACCCTATCCAGAGAAGTAGTGATGCAAGAGATGGAGGCAGAGATGATGATGTGGCGAGATGGAGCAGCTGAGACTTTAGATCCAGAGAGGGAGAGGGGCTGTGTGCAGACGACCAGGGGGCAGGCTTGTAGGGTATACCCTTTGGTTGGTTGATGAGCATGGAGGGGATTTTAACCATGACAATAAAACGATACACGATAGGATGAATGTAAAACTAATGTTCTCCCATGTAAACTATTACATAATTCACAATAAAACATTTACAAGAAAAAGGAAAGCTCGTACAAACATCTTAACAAGATCAAAATATTTGTGTCCTAAAAATTTTAAATGCACACCACTTAAATTTAAAACTCATTAGCAGTCTACAATATGTAGATAATACAACCTTGCTTGCTGAAAGTGAAAAGGACTTGAAAATACTGATGGAGATCAAAGACTACAGTCTTCAGTGTGGACTGCATCTCCAATGTAAAGATAACAAATATCCTCACAACTGAACCATTCAATAATATCATGCTAAATGGAGAAAGGATTGAAGCTGTCAAAGACTTACTGTTGCTTGGATCCATAATCAACACTCATGCTAGCAGCAGTTAAGAAATCAACCAATGTACTACATTAGGCAAATCTGTTGCACAAGACCACTGTAAGGTGTTCAAGAGCAAAGGTATCAGTTTCAGGACTACGGTTCTCCTGATCCAAGCCACGGTATTTTCAATAATAATGTATGTGAAAGTTGGACAATGAATAAAGAAGACCACAGAAGAAACTATGCATTTGAGTTATGATGTTGGAGAAGAATATTAAAAGTACCATGGACTGCCAGAAGAACAAACAAATGTGTACTGGAAGAAGTATAGCCAGAATGCTTATTAAAAGACAGGATGGTGAGACTTGGTCTCAAAATTCAGACTTATTATTAGGAGGAACCAGCCTCTGGAAAAGGACATTATGCTTAATGAAGTGGAGGGTCAGAGAAAAAGAGGAAGACCCCCAATGAAATGGATTAGTAAAGTGGCAGCAGCGATGGGCTCAAGTCTAACAATTGTGAGGATGATGCAGAACTGGGCAGTGTTTCGTTCTGTTGTGCATAGGATGGCTATAATTAGGAACCAACTTGATGGCACTTAACAACAATAACAAATTTCAAACCAGGATATTTGAGATTAACAGCCAACTAGAAATGGGACAGAATTAAAGTAACCAATTTTTCCTCCCACAAATATAAAGTAGTAATAATAAGGACTAACAATTATTTAGGGCAATATGTTTATTTACCATGTACTGGGTATCAAGAAAAGGAACCCTGGTGGCAAAGTGCTCAGCTGCTAACCAAAAAGTCTAAGTCTATAAGCCACTAACCAATAGGTCTAAACCTACATGTCACTCCAAGTGAGGAGGATGCGGCAGTCCACTTTCATAAAGATTATAGTTTGAAAAACCTATAGGCAGTTCTACTCTATCCTATAGGATCCCTACAAACTGTAATGAATTTGATGGCAATGGGCCAATAAGCTAATAAGCACTCTCATGCATTTTTTTTTCCATTTAAGCCTTCATAATAACTATGAAGTTCCTACTATAAAAGATAAGAAAGCAGAGGCCTAGAGAGCATAAGTAATTTGTCCAACATTATAATAATAGCAAACCCTCTACTTAGATCTGCAAAACCCATGTATCTAACTCCTAGACTAAATTTCCTATTAAGATTACCTTTAATTTATTATTTTCACCTTTGGGATAAAACTCTTCTATTAAAATTATCAATTAATGGAATGTGTTTACTAGGCCTTAGTGAACAGTAAAGTTACAACTTGCATTTAAAGAAAAGTTTTCTACTTGAATTTGAAAACTGATGTTAAAACATGTTCTTAAGGAGATTTAATAATTTATAATAAATGAGCCAACAGTATGCTTCACAAACACATTCTTTTAACCAAATAGTATTAACAAATCTTTAACAAAAACAAAAAATATGTTGGTATTATACAGCTAAGAAATAAAAAAACTGTTAGTGTCACTGGAAGTTAACACTTCTCTTCCTGTTTAGTAATTTTAATATTAAGGATAAAAAAAGCATGTGAAAATCATCATTTAGCTTCAGGCACTTGACAGAATAGTTAATCCAAACTTTCTTTACTCATTACATATATTATCCAGGTTACTTTCATTTAAAAAGATATTACTGTGCTATAAAACCATTAACTTCATCAACCATTGATTTTTTTATTTTTATTTTTTGAGAAGTATGTTTTATTGAACAGCTAGTTATAATAAAAGGCTGTTAACCTACCTGTCACTGCTGGTACTACTGCTGCTGCTGACTGAGTCACTACTGGAGGATCTACTTCTAGAGCCGCTGTCGCTAGGGGACCTTGTGGGTCTAGACGCTTGGCTAGCCAGTCTCTGAGGAGACTGATTCCTAGATTGGGATGAATGTGGTGACCGACTCCTGCTGTGCTGGTAATTCCGGTCTGGCCTTCTGCCTCGTACCTCCCGGGTAATATCATCCCTGTAGATATCCCTGTGTACCACACTGGGCAGTGTAAACTGTTCCCGAGCCCTAGGTTCGTATCGGGGGTCATGAGCATCAAAGCGGTTTGGACTTCGACTCCGAGAAGTATAATAGAGCCCATGTTGTAAAGTCCGCTCTCGAGGATCTCTATAGTAATCCTGATCGTAATGTCTTGTCCGATCAAATCCTCCCGTCCCCCGTTCATGGTGTCCATAGGCACTATGTTCATAAGCACGCTCCCTGTTATCTGAAGCCCTGCATTTAGGAGGGGAAGAAACATTTAATCAATCAGAAAGAGGTAAGAAAAAGTAAAAGCATTCATGCAAACAATTCACTTCAGCTTTGTCTTTGTCATTGGTCATTTTCTAAACAGAATTAACCTATTTAGTAAGCAAATACTAACAAGCTTAACATTTGTCTTCAAAAATTATTTTCACATCTGAGCAATCATTGTTATTGCTATACAGTTAATTGTATACTGGGCTTTCATTACTAGTGTTTTGCAAGTCAATCACTCTTTGGGATTTTCTGAATGTACACATTCTTCTTTTCATTTTAAATTCAATCAAGTAAGAAAACACTGTCATTTTAATATGAAAGTTTTCTACACTTTCATCTGATTAAAATACATAAAACACATTTGCTTATTTTGTAAATTTGTTTAGGCAAAATTTCCATAAAATTTTAACAAAGACATGAAAGCCCTACTGTAATGGATGTCCCAAGAGTAGAAAAGCTTTCTCAAAGAAGTCCAGGAAAAAAATTCAAAGTGTAACTTCTCATTAATTTTTGACTTCTTGGGTAATGGTACAAATTAATAGACTTGTAAATTGCTGTGTTGAAAACAACCATACTTAATAATAAAAATGAAATTTCAAAGAAATCACATAAGATATCATAATATCGGTTCATCGATGCTGTTCTATATAAATTTAACTAATTAAATAATAAAGGTTATTTTATCTTTTAATACTATTAAATTCCACATAATTTTTAAAATAAAATGTCCAATACAGGATTCACTTTGCCATATATGTATTGAGTGGTTGCAGGCTATATACTGCCTTAGCTTTGAACTCAAGTTGTCTACCATGAAATTAGGCAATGTGGAAACTGTTAAAATACACTAAGGCTACTGTCAGCAATGGCTTAACTTAAAAATATTTAAATACGTAAATATTAACCTAAACATACAAAAGTTGTTGCATGTACAACTACACACATGCAATTAAGTATTAATATTAAAAACTAATTATAATTTTTGTTTTAATATAATGTTTTTTAAGTCTTAAATTCTCTACTTCTGCAGGGAACTAGACCTCTGCTCCAAGTTCCTAAAAGACCATTCATTTCATTTGAGTTTGTCTTTAACAAAGTCTCTGAACTATCTTCTACCAAAAGAAATCACTGATATCATGAAAGATACAGAATTAGAATCTTTCCAGTTAAGAATACCTGACAAAAATCCTACAACTAATAATTACACCCTTAATATATGCCTACATTCTAAATCTCTCTACTAATCTTCAATTTCGCCCACCATTTCACTTGAGAACAGTGATACTTTTGTGGGTTGATTTTGCTTTTTACTGCTAAGAAAAACAACTGGTGAGGCAAAAATTCAAATATCTTTCACACTCACATTGCATTACAAGGCTTTCTCTTTTTTTACTAGCTATAATTCTGGAATTGGGAGAGATTTCAATGGCTAACAAACAAGAAGGTTTCCTTTGAGACAAAACTACATACCCTATCAAATGTTAATTAGTGAAAGTCTTTGGTTTTTAAATTACGTCATATAAGCAATAAGCAATAGTTCTAGAATTGCTGCTATAACTGATACTTTATAAATATACAAAGTTCTTATCCATTAGGAAGATATAGAAGGCAGGCACAAGAGCTAGCAGAGTTGAAATCTAATGGCTATTCTTTGAATCATCTATTAGTACTAAATACTTCTAGAGTTAGTGGGAAAAAAGAGAAAGAGTTTGACTTGAGTTAGGAGAGGGGCTAATATACACAGGTCAGAACATACCAACCTTTTCCAAGTGTGGAAACACGACCTATAATCCCAATTAAATCTAGGGAGAGAATTGTGAACATAACTTCCCCAATTTTGGCCCCTCTTATGGGGGTAATCCACCTTCTTAATGGGCAAGGGTGTCAAATGATATTTAGATGAACCACCAAAAAAAAATCTTAGTGACCAGACAAAATAATTCCACTGGAAGTAGTCCCAGACAAATTGTAACTCTCAAACCCCCAGACTTCTTTCTTGCGATAGTAGACAATTATAAATTCATCCACATTTATAAAAATTTCCAGCCTAAGTATGAATCAGGCAGCTGGCAGAAATATCCTCTACAATTCCAACAAATGAGGAATGTGCAGCTGCTTGCCAACAGTTCACCTTTGTAGTCATCCAACGCAGTCAGTTTTGATTGCTGTATCCACACTGATCATCACCATGTTTTCAAAGCTAAAGTACCTTTAATTGGACAACTGCTTAAGCAACAAGACAGTAATCCTCTTCCCCCTGGACTAATGGAGTCTTGACTGAATGACATCCCATACATTCCAACCATTAGAACAGAATGGCTATATTCCAGGGTTTAGGAACGTCCATCATCTCAATTTCAACCAATTCCATCAAGAGGTATAATTCCAACATGGAAATTATGTAGATCCAAAATGGAAAAATCAAGCATTGCCTTCTTGCTTCTTCATCCAAGTACACATTTCCAGATTTAAGTATTGTTTGTAGAATCCAAGCGGTTGAAATATTATGGTCTGCTAGCTTTTTTTGTGACAATCCAATTTGCTTGTAAACTTTAAGAAGTGAAAATTGAGAAGCAGGTATCAACTTCTAAAATAATCTGTAGGCTCTATTATTCCAAAATATTCCATATAGTACAACCACAAAAGTTGTAGCCACATAGCTCCATCAGGTAGAAAGGATATATCCAAGGAAAGCCTTAACATTATCCAAGAGAAGGAATCATTAATTCTAGAAGACTGGTAACTCCAAAAATGATGCTTCCATAGGAAATCTTCCACCACCTTTTATTCTCAAGAGTAGATATCCAACCAGCTGCAGGAAATATCCTCTATGATTCCATAAGATACCAGCCACTGGGATAGAAATCACTTCTGTTTCCAACCCAAATTAGGAAACATTCAGAATGCCCAAAACTTTAAATCCATCTGGGGCCCCTAATTAAGAGTTTCTGTTTCTCACCAAATCAAATACAAAATACCTGCCTACAGAAACCTTGGAACTTACCCATCAAGTCTCCGCTCATAACGTCCTTCTCGTGCATGAAGTGATGGTGGAGGACCATAAGCAGGCCCTCCACCACCTCCTCTGAACCCAGAAACCTCTCTACTACGAGATGCTATGGAAACTGTATCATCCAATCCCCGAGCAGCACTCGGAATGGTGCCTGGTTCATTATAATCCGTGCGTAGGTCTCTATCTCCCATTTTGTTGATCGAGTTGTGAGCTTTCTGTGCACTTTTGATGTCCACAAAATCCACAAAGGCAGCCACTCCTCCTTCAGATCCCCTCTTGGGGAGAATTTTGACACTTTCCACGCGTCCATATCTGGAAAAAATGAAGTCAAAGTTATTGCTGCATGTCAATAATTTTCCAGGATGAGTTTTAAAAACAAGGATCATTTTAGACAATTTGCTTTCTAAAATATATGCAGGTATGCTCACAAATGACTTGAGATATGGTTTTCTTTTGCATTCAATTTTTTTTTTCTCTCAGTGCAATTATATGCAATGTTTTATTCACATTATTATAGCAGTACTCTCATTTATTAAATACAATATTAACTAAATTAACTTTAACCTTTCCAGAATACTCAGATGAAATTAATCTTTCAAAAGTTGCAAAAATTTTTACTTTACAAGAGGATGCTGAACCTAAGACAGACAGATTCAAAGTAATTTAAAAGCATTAAAAGACTTTTATTGATGGGACTTTAGACACAGAGAGGGAGAGGGGCTGTGTGCTGACGACCGGGAGGTAGACTTGTAGTGTATACCCTTTGGTTGGTTGATGATGCATGGAGGGGATTGTAACCATAACAATGAAATGATATATGATAGGATGAATGTAAAACTAATGTTCTCCCATGTAAACTATCACATAATTCACAATAAAACATTTTAAAAAACAAAAAAGAGAGTATAGACAC